CACTCTTGTAGACATAAACGTAGGGTTTCTCATTTCTGTGTTGTTATGTAAATGTAGCAAGGAATAGCGAATTATTATGAGAGCGCAATATATGTGTATGTATGCTTGTATTAGGGTGCATTCAAAAAAAAAGCTGTGGATTTTGAAACGGAATTATAAAATTTATATTTGTTTTTAACTTCTGCCAAAATATCGAGCCCTAACCGCCAAAATAACGTAAGCGACATTTTTTTCAAAATTCTATTTTTGATGCAGAAATGCATCTAGATGCTCTAGGAATATTTCTGCATCAAAAAGAAAATTTTGAAAAAATGTCGCTTACGTTATTTTGGCGGTTAGGGCTCGATATTTCGGAAAATATTAAGGTTTATGTACACGCTAGACCGATTTGAAAATACCTCCAAAAATATCATAATTTTGATTCCGTTGTTAAGATTTTACAATATTTTTTGCAGACCTTTTGAGCTTAAACTCTTATATTATCTGAGGTGATTTTTTGGTAAAAATATTTTTAAAAACTAATTTTATTTATAAGAAACGCAATTTTTGTAGGTGTTTTCAAACGGGCCTAGCTCACATAAAACTTATCTAATATTTTTACAAAATATTTTGGCAAAAGTCTTAAAGTATAATAAATTTTATAATTTCGATGGAAAAAACCGTTTTTTTTTTTTGTTAGAGTGATGCACCGTAATGTGTATAGTTTGCATAATAAATTAAAATTATATATATTTTTTACTCACTTGCTCAATAGCGCTCGTTGTTTCTCCACATATGAAACGACCACATCTCCCAGCCGCACATGCTTCTTGTAATCTGTATAATGTGGCACACCACCGGCCACGCCCACCACGAAGACATAGTCGACCTTTTGGAATGTACCCAATAGACGTGTCGTTGTATTGCCTGTAGCGGTCATAGCTTCGCGAGTACTGCCAGCCGAAGGTAATTTCGTGCTGACGATGCGATGTGCACCAATGTTGCCCAAGGTGTAGACATTCGATTCGCCTGGTGGTAAGAGAGTTTTTCATATTAATCAAATGCTCTGCACGTAGTTGAAGCCGAGTACTGATGTTCAGGATTGTGGGTGAGTGATTTGAATGTGATACAAAATGATTAAATTTACAATAAAACAGTGAAATGGTGAGTTGCGACGGGAGAAAGTCAAATGTGATATGCACTGGAGAGGGGGGAAACGTTTGCGCTAAGGCAGTGAATGATCTCACTCATGAAATGATTAAATGGTACGATATGAATGTTTTTATTACAACGCTTTTATCAACTTGCAATGTTGTGTGTCCAGAAACTTTCAATGTTGTGGATCCAGAAACTTTCAATGTTGTGTGTCCGACAACATAAAGCTTTGCTTTGAAAAGTTCCTATAAAAAAGCATAGTGCATAGGGCGACATCTGTAGTGAATAGGGCGAGGTAGATGACATCTAGATGTCGCCCTATGTACTACGTTTGCTACAGCGGAAATAGACGACACGCCATTTCTTTAAATAAAATTAATTGGTGCTCGTTTGTATGTACATACATATGTAAATGCATGTGTGTGCACCTTTTTATTAATATCGTTGAATTATTTTAATATCTATTGCAAAATTTTATTCAGACAGGACTAAAAAGTAGAAAATAAATAATATAAAAAAAACTTTTTAATATACAACGCTTTTATAAATGGACTAAAAAGTAGAAAATAATATTTCTCAGTCCCATAGAATTTGTTTTGATAACTTTTGATTTTGAAATTTTAGCAAAAGTCATTATAAACAATCT